TCTGACTCCGCACTATAGCCTGAAGTAAGGCTGAGCGCGAGAGATCACGGCAGCCAATTGCTACCTTAAGAATACATCGGACAGCCAAGCTGGGCACTCCGCCAACGTAATCCGACACCCGTATGTTTCCTCCCTCTGAGTTCAAAAGTGGTACCTCTCTAAACTTCCATGACCGGTAAGCACCTGCATCAACCGGGGGGTGAGGATGTCGTGGCGTTTTCCAGATATTCCTTCAAGAAGGGTGTGATAGAAGCGAGTCCGGCCCTTATCTGAGAAAGTCGTTCCTTCGACTGCACCATGAAATCGCGCTGAAGTTTATCTCGCCACACTGTAATCTGGCGCAGTATCGGAGTTTAGCCCTGACCACAGGCTTCAGTGCGCAAAATGAAGAAATGCACGAGCGTCTCTAGGTCCCATGGCGGTTATCAGAATGGTTATGGTCCTCCGGGACGCGATCAGCGCATGAGTTAAGAACCGACTCAGGATTGTCATCCTGGACCACACGATCCCCGATTACAACTTACGGCAAAAATAAAACCATACGCTGTCGCTTCTGTATTCAGTAAGTTTTCAGTATTTATACACTTTATTTTTGCTAAACTCTTTTGGTTCAATATTCAAATAAAAACATATAGAATAAAGTTTTATTTTTTTAAGAACTGATAGTAATTGATGAAAAATATACATTAAGGGCTTTAAACTATAAATTATTGATGATATTTCATGAAACACTTTTTGATAAGATGCCTTTCATTTTTGTGTAAAAGTGTTTAGTGTCTAGAATAACCGGAAGGATGGAGTCTTAGTTTGTCTTGTTTCGTTAACTACAAGTTTTAAGGACTCGTTACTTTATTAAAGTTAGCAATGTCTTAACAATTCATTTTGTTGTAAGTTCTTGTGACAAAATGCCATGCCAATTTTTTTTTTTAACCCGGGGGGAAAATGCCATGCCATAAGTCAACATTTGTAATGCCAACATTTTATTATGTTAGGATTTAATAACTTAACTTGTCAGTTTAAACTTGATCATCAGAAAATTTTGCACTTGTTTATGTGAAAAAAAAACATAAATTGTAAATAGTTTTTCCGTTGATAAAATTGATTTTGAAGTACTAAGGCTTGCTGCACCACATGGTGTGGTGCATGGTGCGGCGTGAGTCGGCCTGGGACGCCGCGCTCGCCTTCTGCGAGGCTGTAATGTCCGCGAAGGAGGAGGCCGGAAGGGTGAGGGAAGCCACTTCGTCCCTCCCCTCTCGCAGACACCGTGCTGGGCGCCGCCGCAGAGGTGCCCTCGACGATTTGAGGCCGCCGTGAAAGTGGCCCGTGGCGCGGCCCCCAACCCGCGATAAACGGCAAAGGGAGTTGCATGGTTGTGTTCCCCATGCAACTCCCGAGGTCTTTTGCTTAGAAAAGAGCACCGCATGAGGGGGGGGGGGGGTGCCAGTGCCCCCCAAATGAAGAAGGGCCCCCAGTAGCGGGCCAGGCTGTCGGGGAAGCTGGTGGGAGTGCGAAAGCGATCCCCTGCTTGGGTTTTTAGTGGGTAGTGGCAACAAGTCCCACATACCCCGCTGTTTTCTAAAAACGGCGGGGATGCGTAAATGCATTTTTCCAAGGACAAAAAAAGGCTTAAGAAATATTTGACTGAATATTGCTATGTAAATTCGTAATGTATAACGACTTTCAATATGAATGTGAAATATAAATATAAATGGAATTTAAATTGATACTGTAAATCCAGAAAACTAGAAGGAACAATATATAACGACAATAAAAGTGGCACATTGTTTGCTTTACGTAAAGAACAAAGCGAGACCACATAGACAGCTCAGAGTGCAAAACTATTTCAAAACAGTTAAATAAATAAGTTGTCTGATCTGAACTACTGAAGATAAATATTGTATTTAAATACAGACATGACTATTCTCTAATGCTGTTATATAAAAAAATAACTTAATTAGTCTTTACTACTTAAAAATTTTATCTGATTCTTTGTCACATCAACGAAATATGCTATTTTGTTGGTTGGTTAATGAGTAGTTAGATTACATAACTGGACAAATGAAGTATTCACAAAGTATACGACTAACGATCAATGAATTATTAACAATTAGAAGACCCCCAGTGACGGAAACTTAAGATTTTTTATGGAAAAAAAATAATTGTAAAAAGTATCTTTATTGGCAACTTAACTAACTGAATAAACATTAAAATCAAATTAAGACAACAAATGTGCACATTTTGCTTAAACTTTTTTCAAATCTTAAATTAAACCTTGCTAAAAATAATCGCAGTCCTTGCAAGTGGCACCTAGTACCGAACAGACTTTTCTCCAACTCTAGAGTCAAACAGTTTTACAACATCTGACAATGATCACATATGTAGGCCTCTGAACATTCTGGAATGTCACCACAAGCTTCATGAGCCCAGTCACGGCAATTGAAGCACTGTAGTAGTCCTCACCGTTGTCTTCTAAGCATGTTACGGAAGTATTTTTTCTAATTGCGATGACTGAGTTAATGGCAATTATTTCATAACTTTATATTCTCCTTTGTTTTCGGCTTTTACTTCTTTGTTTTGCTTTTTCTTTTTTCTTTTGGCTTTTAAAAATTTTCACTCGTCACTTCTCATCCACGGTTTAGTGCAGAAGTTCTATTACGCAAAGTACTTTTTGGTATTTTGTATCGTAACAAAGCTTATTTTAAAGAAATTTCTTCAGTGAAAACCCTAGTGATTGTAATATGTAATATTTGGTTCTCCTGTCGTTTGGAAAAAAAGTAGGGCATAAAAAATTAAAAAGCATAAATACTGCCAAGAACAAGGTAACAAGTTTACTGCCTGGCGCTTAGGGACAACTCTGAGTCCGTTACCAGGGGATGAAGAACCATCGGAACATTGGATTTTAAAACTACATTAGAAATCTTTAAAAGCGTTAGTTGATTACAAACAGAAATAGAATATTATTGCTATTTGTTATCAACTAACCCTTATTAAGTATAAAAATTAGCATTTTATCATATATACTTTGTTTACGCAGTCTCTTCAAGCCAAAACCAGCAAACCCCGGCTATCACTTGTATCACCTGCGTCACTGGCTCATCACATTTCTTCACTTGATATTACGAATATCCTCCGCAACCCCTTTTACTTGTGTTCGAATCTCTCGCATTATTAGTCATCGAGATAGCATAAGTGTCCGGTACTAGATGCCATTTGGCGTTAAGGGACCTTCCCTTTTAAGTATTCAACTAGTGTATACTCGTTATAAATCCAAGTAAATGTAAAAAATACCAATACCCGACATGTCCGAGTTTAAAGATATAATGTTGCATGGAATATTTCTATATTGTTGTTTTTACTTTATATTAATATATAAATTCATTTTCTTCATACAATAAGGTTTATAAATATATAATTTGTACTAATAATATGTCTGAATAAAATGAGAGATGATGTAAAGTATGAATCACGAAATCACATTCAACCCAAACTGTTCCTGTCTAATAAGTTTCAAGAGAAGCAATAAATTTAATAATCGTCGTTTATTATGTCTTAGCGCTAAACTATTATGTGATGTCGCAACCATGCATATATTGCGTGCAGTGTACAGGGACATCTTTGTTCGAAGTTCTAACAAATACATAAGTAAACTTGTTAGTTATATATATGGATTATATAGCGACTCCTTGACTATAAATTGACGCGGTCCATAACTTGAACTAGTAAGTTGGTTAGTGAGGTGTTCAGCTCTTCTCTATAAATATTATTTATACTACATAGGAAGCCCCACAGAAGCTTGAATAAAGATAGAATGATTTTGCAAACAGAGTAAAAAGGTTTATTTATAAGTGCTTTTGTTGGATAATGAAATATAAAATTGTTTAATAACATATGTTTAAAATTATATCATAGTCATTTTTGTAATATAATTATTATTTTTTTACTCATGTCGTATGTAATGATTAAAGATTTCTAGAAAGTAATCAAACGTCGGATAAAATCTGAAAATAAATAATAAAAATATACCATTTCTCTAATCAAAACAGCATTTCTTTTGAAAGTATCCCACCTCCCTAATGCTCTGGGCAGCATTTGGTAGATACGTACCTACTTATTGATCCGTTTAAGGTTGACTTTTGTAGTAAATAGGTTTATAATATAGTATAGAGGAAAAAAAACCTTAATATTTATAATTATTTTACATCTCAGTTAAAGCATAATACGACGACCTATTTTTAAGTTCTAAAAAATTACTTCTACGCCCAGCTATTTAAACTATTATACTGATTTTGTTTTTTGCTAAAAATATCAATACTTATGTATAGAACTGGCAAAAGATTACTATTTCAAAAAGATTTCAGTCCTTTTTTTGAACCCGACTATCGCCACGATTAACCACGTTATAATTATGTCACTACATTTAAGGTTTAGTTATCAAGTTTCGAATACAATGTTCGAACAAATTAAATAAAGTTGGCGATGTTCCATTGGTGATAGGCACACCATTAGACTCGGCTGTGACTATTAGTGTTCGTTCCCGTTTTAGCCGCAATCTCTTTCAAGTCGACATTTTATTATCGAGCGAGTCAGCTTCTCTATAATCCCTGGAGTTGTACGGTGGACCATGTGAGTACTCGCATTGTGGCCTTAATGCTTTCAGGCATAAAGGTACGGTTATACGAATATAACTTGCCATGTGTACCTCACGATAAAACGAAATGTAAAGGTAATAAAATCAAATTAAAGGAAATAAATTACTCGTCTTCATAGAATTTTAAGAAAATAATAAGTATAAAAAATACAAACCACACACAATGGCATCGTAATAAATAAAAAAGAAAATATTATAAATACACAGAGTGCTACATAATTCATAAAAAAACGACATTCATTTAGAAATATTTTGCTGTCTACTTAATATTACCAATGCGTCTGAAAGGTTTGTTTTTACCACCAATCAAATATAAATTTTGAGCATAAGTAACTCCTATATTAACACTTACCATCATGGGAGTCATAGATGTAAATGATTTCTTTCCATCCGTAGTGTACTATTGTATCGACGATTGCCCTGTGGTAGTCCGGCCGCATGCTAACCGCGTGGTCAATTAATCCCGACGATGGCGGAATTACCTGATGACATAAAATAAGATTAATTTCTTATAAACATAGGAGTGCATCAAGTTATTCTGTGGTTTCTATCTGATAATATCGCAAATATCTTAACATGTTATTCAATAACAAATAGACTTCTGATTTGAAAAAAAGTATTTAAGTCATCTGATCAAAGGAATTAATAATAAAACTTTGTCACTGAACTTATTTAGTCTGAAACAAAGTTTTCATTGAGTAGAATCGAAATTATGAACATTATTTTCCAGTGTTTCCAGAAGATATTTAGGTAAGTGGATTTTTAAGCAATTAAATTTACCGGTAGCAAATGAAGCTTAATATTTGCACATTTAATTTAAATATGTGTTGAAAACCGCTCTGTAAAAAAAGGTATAAAGATATTTTTCAATATATTAAGATATATTTCAAAAGTTTTTTGTTGCCGTTAAGGTATATTCTATTTTTAAAAGGTAATTTTTATAGAATTCCGAAATTAAAAGTATATAATGAAAATGTTGAAGTTCTCACAGCTTTATCGGGTTTGACAAAATATGGACCCTTTCTGGGACGAGATTTAATGAATTCTTTGTTTTTAAATATTTATGAATTGTTTTCTTCGTAGTTATTGTTATGGAATTCTTTGCTGTCTTCAATATTAAAGATCATTTTGTATTGTTCGATTTAAGTTTTTTTCACTGTTTATATATTTCCTTCTTTGAAGTCTATCCTAGATATCTTACTATATTACTTTTAACTACAAAATCGAAATTTTGCTTCTATATATATAAAAGTTGAAGAAGATTAGAACTGCATATCATATTTAACAAAATATCCAATAACTGTCACGTACATGATATTCAAGATAATGGAACCTAGTGAATTGTTCATTTCACAATTGGTCTATTTGAACTTAAACCATTATTTTTGTGTATAAAATTGGACTAATCGTTTTGGTCTGTAAAAGAAAGGTGATATTTTATCAAGAAAAATATGTAATTTATTTGATTTAAAAATAACTGAGACTTAAAATTTTATATCATCTATTGTTTTAAATTTAATAAAGCTTTTAGCACACTTACATTATTTTATACATATAAAATTATGTAATTGTCTTAAAAATAATACTAATTTGTAGTTCATTTATCATGTGAAAAGTATTTACTCAGTCACAGCAAACAATTAGGGTGAAATGTTTTTTAAGATACTGCTTTAGAGCATTAAATTCATTGCATATTTCTTAATAAAGCTCATATATATTGTCAGAACAAATAAACAATTTACTATTATTCTGAATTTATGGAAAATGAATATAGATAATTGATTAAAAAACCCAATACTGCTTCTTGCTATATAAAAGGCTAAATACCTTTTCAGGAAACCACGGAGTAACGAACGGCATTTGAAATGTGTTGGTGTAGGAGTGCAGGGTATCAAACGATTCCGGAGTGACTGCACCCAGCATCGCAAACACACCTCGCGCAAATTGGTTGCAAACTGCGGACAAGGATATTTGAATAATACATACCATTTATATCTACCTTCTTTACAACTTAGGATCATTGAAATATATAGTTACATAGATGAGATTATGCTTCTAAGATTGAGTAATGCAGTATAATTTAAAAAATAAAAGACCACTTCGATCTCAAAAACTACAAACCTTGTTAAATATTTAATAGTAAACTAAATATTTATGTCATATTGGCTGTAAACGCTTTTTAAAACTTCCAAAAGTTAAAATAAATGAATTTGAAATATTGATTAAGCAATAAGATTATTCATCACTTCATATAGATATATGAAGTGATAGTTTAAGTAGTTTAGTGATTAATATTAGGAATGTATGTGATGTATTCAATGGTATTTCAAATAAATTACACAGCACAACAAAATCAAACTTTTTTTTTGTTGCATGAAGTTTTTCTACTGTTGTTTACTAATTTGGGTGTGTTAATTTTAAATCTAACCTCAGATTTTTTGTAGCAGCTCTAGTTAGTGAGATACAGGTCCGTCTGGAATTTACATAAGTTGTCAATAGTTTCTACCAATAGCGGTGTAACTTAACTAGTCCCTTTATAAATTTCATTATGTCTTCCTCAAGAAGGACGTGTTTAAATAATCCTGAGTGTTTTTGTGCTATTTGCGGATAATATATGTTCCAAAAAATGTCGTTTAAGTGTGTCAGACTTTGTAAAAAAGGCATACTTCGACTACCTTGGGTTTCCGTTGCCATCAAACGCTAAACCTTTGATACCAATTTTGGTGTGTAAAAGTTGTATTGAATCTTTGCGATTGTAGGCAAACAAAGAAAGACCAAATTTTAAGTACAAATCTCCCATGATATGGCGTGAACCACCCAACCATCATAACGACTGTTATTTTTGTGTAACGAAAATCATAGGAATAAACCATAAAAATTGCTCTAAGTGGATATATTCAAACTAAAAATCTGTCGTAAGACCAGTCTTGAGTATTAGTGACACATCAACACCACAGCAGCCTTGTAGATCTTCGGAAATCCAGACCAGTGCAGCGGACAAACCGAAACGACCACAGTGGTAGAGACAATAGTCCCCGATTACTAAATAAAGAGGATCTAAGTGACTTGATCAGGGACCTTGGCCTGTCTAAAAGTTGATAGATGATAAAAATTTCATCAACCATATGACAGCTATTGAGAAATGTGCATGGGAAGAGTTTGTTTGAGTAGTGAGAAATTTTTTAAGAATACTAAGTCTGACGGCTACATTCAGCACGTTGAACAGTTGCTGATAGACTTCCAGCGGCTTAGATGCAACATGAGTATGAAGCTTCACTATCTTCACAACCATCTAGACTATTTTCCTGAAAATCTAAGTGACCTAAGCGAGGAACAAGTAGAGCGCTTTCAACAGGATATTCGATCTATGGAGAACAGGTATCAGGGGTACTGGAAGGAATGTATAATGGCTGGATATTGTTGGAGCATTCAAAATACAAGTACTCATGATACATCTCACCCTAGAAAACCCACAAAAAGGAAATTTTATTCAGATTAAAAATATTTAATAATTTTTTTAAACTTAAATTTTGTGCATTTTTAATGAAAAACCCTGTCTCTTCATAACTCCAAAACTAGAGCTGCTACATAAAAACAGCATATATTTTTGAAATAAGCGTGGAAAAACAATTCAGATTCATGTAAAAAAATCTCATGCAACAGACATGCTGTTTCCCAGTGTTATCTTTGAATTTATACAAATTTAAATCAATAAAAACAGAGTGTCTGGATCTCAAATAAAAAGTCTAATAAACACTCAATAGTTTTCATTGAAGGTATTAAATAAAAAAATGTAGAATTAAATAAATTTTACCTAATTTAGAAATGTCACCTGAATAATAAAATCCTTACCTAATCAATCAAATTCAAATTATTAGGCTTTTTACTGTACATGAACAATTTCATTTTAACTTTCAGCCAATAGGTTACAAGTAAAGTTAACGCCTATTTTTATCGTTACAAAAGCCGTTCAATTATCTAAAAGTCTTAGAAAGTGGTCATCGTATTACGTTATTTCCCAACCGACTCGCACCTCCATTGCTGTAATTACACTCTAACACAATTACCCTAAAAGCCTGTCACTGGAGAGAAATTTAATGAACTCTGTAATAGATTGAATTGTCTTAAAATTAATCTGCCTTTCACCTTTTTTCTTCAAGGATGCGAATCTTGGTAAATGTCTATAGTATTCTATCATTGACAATTTTTATTGAATTATCATGTACAATATGAATATATCATATACAATATAAATATATTATATAATATATATTGTTTTTACTCTTAAATCAAAATAATGAACTCATTATGAATAAACAAGGTGTAATTTTTTTTAATACTTGATTCAAAACTCTAGGTCTTGTAGAACTACATATAACATAGAATGTAAAGGTCATAAATATATCTATAGTCGCAGTCGAATAAGCCAAAGTATCAAGTATCAAGTAGAGTAAGAAGAGTAGCACAGGACACAGTAGTCCATAGCAAGCAGCGATGACACGAGTCAGTAAATCATTGATGATATGTTTTTAATAATTAACCTAAAACAAAAACAAAAAACTAAAATAAACGTTTAAAACAATAAAATGCTTTAAAAAAAAAGGTAGTCTTTGTATTTTAGAAGTGTTATAAAATCAAATTTATATAAAGGTTTTCATATTATATGTTAAAAATAACATGTAGACTCTCATTTTTCCTTCTTTTTTTGGAGCAATAAAAGGGCGAATTAGATTTTGAAAATACGTTTGTTAAGTTATTGGATGAATTAAATTTCATAAACATTATCGCGACAGACTATCATTATAAAACATTTCTTTGAAATTCCTCAAGACAAGACCACAGGATATAAAAACTGCTCATTACAACGGATAGGCGCTCATCCCCTTACAAGCGATTTGCTTTTGTTTCTACTTTTAATTTCCGAGACAGTATTTTTGTATTGTTATTTTTTTCAGAAGCTTATGTTATTTTTCGCCTTTTCGCGATATCTCTGAGACGCAATGACCGAGGATTAAAGCATTAAAACGATAAGTTTTTTCCAGAAGCACCAATGAGGATGATGCTTTTGTCAAGAAACAGTATTTACAGCTAACTTTCACAAAAGGATTGTTTAAAAAATTAAATGAGCGTATTAAAAAAACACCTTTATCTGTCCCCGTTCGATTGATATTCAAAAATCCTACCAATATTATAATTGCGAAAGTTTGTGAGTGTGTGTGTATGTTTGTTACTTCTTCACGCTCAAACGGCTGAACCGATTTTGATAAAATTTTGTATACAGGAAGCTGACGTAAGGAGAAGGAATAATACATAAGCTACTTTACAACCCGGAAATCAACGGGTAACACCGCGGGGCGCAGCTATTTAATTATAAGACAGGTGTGTGGGTACGTTTGTATTTATATTAAAATAAATATAAAAAAATTAAGGATTTCAATTTAGAATATAATAAATGACCCAATATTATTATTATTTTCGTAAAAATGTAAAAAGCCATTTTGCAAACAAACACATCTAAAAAGTATCAACATATCATTGACAAGTTTGTGATTTTATCTTACATTTTGTCATGTTACATTTTTACCTAGAAATGTATCTTGTGCATCAATTGTGAGATAAAGGGAGCTTTTACATATACACACCATAAAGCTTTTATGACTAGGTGAGGTTAATATTATGTGGGATGAGGGCTTTGAATTTTAATGCTAAAAGAGTACCCTAGCTTCTTTTGTTTTTGCTCCACTTTTCGCTTGTAAAAAGAAAGATTATAACCGAGTGTCATATTAGTAGGCGTTATGTAATAAATAATTTAATTTTACTTCTTATTATCAAAAAAATTTAGCCATTGAAACGTGTAAATTACATTAAATAAGAAAGTCCAAAAGTTTTCGTAATTTTCATACCTTTTATTTTAAGATGTTACAGGTTTAATGCCAGGGGCTATAAATTGAAAATGAGTAAAGTTACAAGCAATCATCAAATCAATAAAAAGCTCCAATCACTCAATGTCAACAATTCTACCGTTTCTTTTGAATGGATATCCTTTAGAAGACTGTGAACCTGAAGTTGAGTTTTTCCATCCAGATTAAATGGATGTAGGGAGATATGCTTTTCATAATGATCTGCTCTGGACTGTCAAAAATAATTACCAATATCACATATTTTTCAAAATGAAAACTATAGCTCACATTGTGAAAGAGAAAAATGTATTATATAATTTACAGCAATATATAGTGGTAAGATAAAAAGTTCTACACGATTCACATTTTACAACTCCTTCGTTACGTTTTCAAAGAAAATTCTCTAAAACAAGTTAGAGACTTGAAAGGGAACTATTAGCATCTGTTGGCAAGAATAAGAAAAATATTATTAGAAATCTTTAGTGAAATTCATCGGTAGCTAGAGTCTGTCAAAACGTTTTTCAACTCTAAGATATTTTGTAATAGAATTCAAACTTGTTAGTATTTATAAAGCTATATTACATATCATAATGTTGTGGTGCAATCTTAAAAGGAGCAGATCTCACAAAAGATGTAGAAAAAAATCCTTAAACTAGAACACATACTTTGCAAAATAATTTGATAATGTCATAAATGTTGATTAATGAATTAATTATGAATCAAATTAATTTTCAACTGTTCAAAACCTACCAAATTGTTTTCTTATGTAGCAAATTAAATTATCTTTTAAAATTGATTCTCAATATTAAATTATTATCGGATTGAAGGTTTCTTAAACTTTTCAAGAAAGATGTTATGTATGTTAATTTGCATTTGAAACGTAATCTTTAAAACGAGTTGTCCTCTTTGTAGAAAAGAACGTTTTGGTACATGCAAATTTAGAGACACAAAAGTCATATATTTATAAGCCCCATAAATACAAAATCTTTATTAATTTAATGTATAAGTAAGTTGACGAAAAAAATACCAAATTATAAGTGCAAAATATAAAGCAAGTGTTTCGGTGTATCTGTCTTATTCTACGTAACCTTGGTTTAATCGGTATTGTTCAGAGAAACTAAGTTTCTTAGACTTAAATGTCATTAAGTACATAATGTGACAATTCAATATCTGCTTTAAATTAAAGTTATCGCGCTAAAGCTGATAACCTCCTACAGCATGTCATAGACGAAATATTTGAGGACAAATAACTCTCTGGATAAACTTGTTGGAATCTATTATAATAATTAAGATAATGGGAAAGTTGTTATATCAAATTTATTTATTTTCCAGAATAACGAGAAATAATAATTGGACTTGTAAAAATGTAAACCTTACTAAATCTCAATAAGTAAATAAGAATATTTTATTACTTTCGTTTATATATTTCATCTTATAGTACGATATGATTACTGACGATAGACAACGTTTCCATTCTTAACCAAAAATAGATGATCTAGGTTTTACAGTACATATATATCTATATATAACATTTATCGCTTCTCGTCTCATTAAACCACAAGAGGCAGAAGACAAAAGCGTATGCATTAAGAAAAAATAGGCAAGAAAAACAAAATTTTGTAACAGTTGCGATGGCCGAAGAAAGAATAAATTCATTTCACATGTGTTTACCTTTTATGAATACCACAGAAGGCTTTTTAAATTGTGCTTAAAATTATAATTACTTGTCAAGGTTGCAATTTTTTTATCAATTGCGAGACCTAAAGAATCTATTTTGTCTCAAACTATTCAGAATTGTCACTAAATATTATTTAGAGTGTCAAATAATAATCTCTATAATATTAGACTCGTAGACTTGAAAACTTTCATATTTTAAGACACTCTGTCCATTCAAGTTAGTAAGTTATAACTCTGAAAATAACGTCCCATTTGTCTTATCATTTCTTTATGAACAAGAGATCAGTTGGTGTCTAGTGTTTTATTAAAGGATTAAAATAAACATCTGTAATATAATGATAATAAAAATCTGTTTTTGAACAACGTTTTCACTTGGACGAAAAATAAAATATTTTTTAAATAAATTGATTTATATCCATTATATTTTATAATCTTTTTCTTAATGAGTAAATGTAAGTGTTAAAAATATTTGAAAATATTCAGTAAAATATAAACTCACCTTAATTTGTTTCAAACCCACTATGAAAATTCAAGCACTCGGAAATTATATTTCGCAAATTATTATTATTTTTTGACATTTTTTCTCATAACAGCAGGCAGAATTTTGATACAGAATTGCTCAATAATAGAAAAACTTTTCTATCTTTGTCCAATCTACACTGTGCTCTTTGATCACGTTAACAATAATATGTAATTTTAAAGCAAGTTATATAAAATCTTAATATAAATATCTGTTTCTATAAATTTTACTGATAATAAGTATTTAATTTCATAAGTACTTCAATTTGAGTTTTATCCATATCATAAGCAATTTTTTCAAATAAAACTATGCAACAGATACTTTAGAAATCAATTAAGTCTAAGTTTTCTCAAATTCATGATGCCTCATATAAAATAAACATATTAAAAAACAGAGAAAAGTAATGAGAAACATATAATTATAAAAAATATATTCTTTTACCCTCCATATAGTAAGGGTATAGTTTTTTCTACTTATAATATTTAGTGATAAGTGAAACTTACTCAGGCGTGATAACTTGAATGCGTCAGCGGTGTTGATAACATCGACATACGCTTGAAGCTCCAAGCGACGGCTGCTGATATTCTGATTATGAACAGTCATTGCGTATTTGAAGACGTTTTGTATTTCTTCTGTATTCTGGTCGAAGATTGCACCTGGTAACATAAATAAATGGACATTCATAATTTAATTTATCTCTCAATGCTTTTTCAAGGTTCATATTTGTAGTATAATTTTAAAACTTGAAGCATTATTGTGAGTCGTCGATGTGTTGTAACTGTTTTGCCGTATCAAAGTTACCAGGTTTTTTGTATGTACGACACATTATACAATTTACTAGAGGGTTGCTGTTCACTCGAGTAATTGGTGATGGGATTTTACACTCATTAAATTACCTAGGCGTGCTCAGTGGATGTGTGCTGTGCACATACATATATATCCTTATTCAGTATTATTAGATGGTTTTTTAATAAAGCTATTTATAAACGTAGAAAAGTTTTATTAAAATATCTTATAGAAAAACAAAATAAATTTTGGTTAAGGTAGGTATTATCGATTCAAAATATATGCTTTTATCAATATTACAAAATAAGTTACTTCGCCTGAAGATTTCTGTAAACAGATCTAGACATTAATAATTTCTTATTTAAACAGAAGAGAAACGAGAAATCGCTTTACGGCGTAAAACACTTCATTTGACATCTTTATCGGTCTTCGATAAGGCAGCCCGTATTCCAAGGTGTCATCGGTTAATATATGACCACCGAACGGAACGTTTATCTGAATCGCCTGTTATGGCGGTTGAATAGGACTTGTATACAACGGCGGTGAGACTGTACTCAAAATATTACCTCTATCTAATAAATTATGTCTTAATCAAAATAAAAGTGAAAGTTAATGAAAAATATATCTTATTAAAAAAAAAAATCTAAAGGTTTGGAAAAGTTTTGATAATTATGTCAATTCACAAGCTGTTAGCATCAAGTGTATTAAAGGGTTGTCACTTATTTATATTTTCTCTTATTTTCTTAATTAAAATAAAAATGAGTTTTGATGATGAGTAATAATCACATTTTTTCAAATGATTTAAGCGTTCTAATGGACAATATATTTTCATATATTATGAATCAGAGCTAAACGATCTCCAAAACGACGATTCCCCTACGTGGACACACTATCCTTATGTCTTTTTTCACTCCCACGAACATTATTCGGTGAGAGCCATTCCGAAGCTCCATTCTCAGTAATATTTCTTCCATTTGCTACGTCATTTCTTTCTATATCACGCCGAAATGTTTCATTCCACTTTATGGAAGTTCGGCTTTCTCTGCAGCCGTATTCTCTTAACTGATTTTAGTAATTGTTTCGCCTTGACTGAGCGTTTAGTGGAGGAAAAACGCTAATGATCTTTGAACGAACTAAATGGTTTTCTTGCCAGGGTAGATTGTTTTATTGGCATCGGTTTGTTCTTTTGTAGGAGAATTTCTTGTATTTATTTTTAAAATTGTTTTTTTTGTTTTTTGTTATCTTGTATATAAAACTTTTTCAATGTTGTATGGTTATTTATTAATTTCATTTTAAAGTAACATCAGTTCTGAGATGGCAAGAAGAAACTGCATCTACTGTTTTGTTAAAAATAAGTGCATCTTACAAATGAAAACTTAAAAAAAAACGCAGTTAATTATATTTAAAGTTAAATCAATAATAATATCTAAGCTGTTTTATATCAAAATTTTCATATTATGTCCACCTGTTTTTGTCGTTTTTTTACTTTATTATAATTATTGCGTATAAATAGCTTAACGAATATTTATATATTGTTATCGATAATTTTAAAGTAATCTTGGTGTATATAAAGAGAAAATATTAAAAAAAAAACTTAAATACACTATTCCCATAACAATCGTTTTCAGGGCATCATTTTTCCAGAATCCGCTTTTAAGTGTTCGCAATGTTTATTTCATTGGAAGATATTTTCTCTCATACAAAGTTAATTAACCATAACAGTTTAAATTGCTTTAACAATGTTAATGAGTTTTGTTCTATTCCTAACTAATTAAGTGACAATAAAAGTCCTTATTGTTCTTTCTTTTATTCTGAGTACTGATTTTACAAATTGTTATATTGATATGAAAATATTGAAAACTAATTATTATGCCTATAAACAGATGATATATCGTTCAACAATTGTTGAACCATGTTATTTTGATAAAAAATATTATTTTATTACAGTTTATCGCAGATTTTTTTAGCCCTAAAGTCGTAATTTCTGTATCCAATAATTTTTATGAAAAGCAATTTTAATTTTAATGTTTACATATTGTTGATATTGTAATTTATATTTAATAATTTGTATAATACCCCTAATAAAATGAAAATCATGTTACTATATTGCAAACACACTTGGTTCTAAAAGGATCGTTAGCTAGAAGTTGAAAAATTATAATTTTTAAAATCTTGCCATTTATTGAAATATTTATTTTTCACTGTAATTTGCATTTTAGGTCACACATTATGGCTCATAGTACTTTACACACTCGCTTAGGAACTGTTTTGGGTAGTTTAATGAATTGACAAAATGATGCACAAGAATCTTAGAATAAACTAGATTCCTTTAAAAAAATATTCGATTCGAAAAAAAATATTCGACTATTAATTCTTTTTTTTTTGTTATAAGGATTGTTAACCGAATATATATTGCATAAAATCAAATGTAGAATTGAAATAATATCTAAATATCTTATAGTTGTCTAGCAAAAATCTGCCTGATATTACTCTTAAAAAATTGAAATTTTTCGACGATGAAAAGAGATATAGGAAGTAAAGCTTCCAATTCCTGCACACATCCTTCAAAGTGTATCCTATGAAATACTTATAGTGACCAAGAGGACAAATCCTGAGAAACTCCTGCATCGACCACCATTGACAGGGACGAGTAGCCACTAACAATTTATTCGTAGAGCAAAGCCAGAAGCTATGGAATACAAATGATGAAAAGGAAAAAATAATAATAATTTTTTTTGCTGATCTAACAAATTAAAAACAGAAACATAATTCTTTAAAGTTCGCATTTTGAAATTCAAGTAATTATAAAAATCATAACTTTGATTTTTCAATTCCAGTAGGTATTATTACCTATAATACCTTAAAAATTATGTGCACTTTTAGAGTTCAGAAAGTATAGTTAAAATAAAATTCATTACAAAGCAAGTTTTATTGCTAGATAAATAGTTTGATTGAAAGAGTAAATTTTGTAATACGATAAATTTTCCACTGAAATGCATACTACTTCGTTATGGCATATAAAATAAAAGAAAAACATGAAACGCACGTGCATTTCATATTCCTGCTGGCAGCTTCTGTCGTGTTTAATTAAATAGCTGCAACAATACATTTGAAATAACGCTATATACATTCCTGAACTAATATTCCATGATGTGAAAATAAAAAATAATTTTTGAACTAATTGTTTTACCTTACAACTTTTAATATTATGTAGGCGGTACAAAGATTAAACGAAAACAAAGCGTACCAGAACAAGTTTTGCAATGTAAGAAGTACATATTGGAAAGTAAGATAGGCAAGATAAGTTTGCCCTATAATGGTAAAAACTTTATCCAAATATTGTTAAAAGTTGGCGCTGCTATTTTTCGAGAACAAAATATGGAATACTATCTTCAACAAAATAGTAAACGGAATTAAAATGAGACATTTAAACGTGACTAAAATAATAAGTTGTAATTTAACTTAAAAGCCTCAATGGTTGTGACGTTACATATCATTTTAGAAAAGCTTTATTGGCAATTTGTGAAAGTGGAATTATGATATTATTTTAAACTAAAGGTTGAAATAAAGGCAAATTTCCCTGGATAAATGTAATTCAAGAGTCTTCAATACAAGAAAGTGAACAAAACAGACTAAACAAATAAAACTCCCCCTCCCTACTACCCCCACACAGAACGGGTTCACGTTAGAGGTCCTTACAACAGGAGAAACTCGAGCTTCTGAAGCGTTACCAAAACTCTTATACTGTCTTCCCGACCGGAAAATAGAGTTCAGTTGTGATGCTATTCCTGTTCAAGAAAGGTAACGCTACTTCAGATAAAACCCAAAAAAGTCCTCTCAAGCACTCTTCTTCTTGAAATATAAGCTGAATGACTTATAATTAAATTATATGATAGAGTAAGATGATAAATGAAAGTGAAATATATAATATTATTTAGGTTTATAGATAACTTTGCAGTCGAAATTGTAGATACTTTAGGATCCAAATATGTAATTATTAGCCAAATATATAAAAGCTCCGAAAAGCTACCGGTCCTGACGGAATCACCAACAAAGCCCTCCGTCACCTTCCCGCACGTGGCATATCGGCGGTGACACGCCTATATAATGGAGTCCTCAGGACAGACCACTTCTTTAGCCAATGGAAGCTCGGCCGTGTCATCATACTGCTTAAGTCTGGAATGAATATCTTGCTGCCAGGGAGCTATCGTCCCATTATGCTGCTGTCCACCGTCTCGAAGGTTTTCGAAAAGATTCTGCTAGTGCACCTCGCACCACACATCCATCCAAATTCACTTCAGAGTGGAGCACTCAACCACGCTCTAGCTCGCGAGGCTCTTCCTCTCGGTGGCTCTAAACAAAAAAGAGTCAGCTGTCACGGTGATGCTCGATATGGAGAAAACGTTCGATCCTCGCTGAATAGTCAGGATTGTAGTCACCTTTCTTCCACCAGGATAGGCATTTCCAGGTGTCAGGGGATCCTGTGCATCCTGTCTTCGCAACGTCAAATCAGAGCCGGTGTGCCGAAGGGAGCTGCCTGTCTCCCTTATGCTACGCCAGGTATACAGATGACGTCCCAGTTGCGGAAGGTGCAATTCTAGCGCTCTTCGCCGACGACACTGCTTTCATCAGGATATCATTAACTCGCGCTCACGCGGCGACGAAGATGCAGCGTAAGCTGGACCAACTTCCCCTATGGTTGGACAACTGAAGACTCAAAGTGAACGTCACAAAAACTCAGGGGTTATCTATGGGGAGGCGACACCTATCGCAGGCCCTTACCATGATGAGACAGCCTTTTTCATAATCAGCCAATTCCATTGAACAGACGTTTAGTTTTCCGTTCCAAATCACCACCATATTCACCGAC